GTGAATACGTAAATTATAGCCTGGTCATTATTAGCGAACTCGCCGTAGTAATGTACAGGAGACAGGAAATTTGGGCCACGGACGGATTTTTTCTAGCGAAACCTTGTAGAACGTTTTGGGGAACCGTGACGTATATTATAACCGGGTCACTATAAACAAATCTGCCGTGGTAATGTACAAGGCGACAGAAAATTTCAACCCGGCGCAGATTTATTTCGGGACCTCGGGTGGAGCGTTTTTAGGTGACCGTGACGTAAACACGTAACATATGACCGGGTCTTTATTGGCGAACCCGCAGTAGCAATGTACGGGAGTTCGAAAAACTTAGATTGGGCTGAATTTCTTTTGCGGCTTTGGTTGAAGCGTTTTTGGGGAACCGTAACGTGAATACGAAAATTATAGCCTGGTCATTATTGACGAACTCGCAGTAGTAATGTACAGGAGACAGAAAATTTTTGCCACGGACGGACTTTTTTAGCAAAACCGGGTGGAGCGTTTTGGGGAACCGTAACGTAAATACGTAGCTTATAATTGGGTCATTATCGACGAACCCGCAGCAGCACGTACGGGGGTCGCAAAACTTAGATCGGTCTGGATTTCTTTAGCGGCCTTAGGTGGAGCGATTTCGGGGAAATGTCACGTGAATACGTAAATTATAACTCGGTCAGTATCGACGAACTCGCCGTAGTAATGTACAGGAGACAGGGAATTTGGGCTCCGGACGGATTTTTTTAGCGAACCAGGTGGAGCGTTTTTGGGGAACCGTGACGTATAATATAACTCGGTCATTATAAAAAATTCGCCGTGGTAACCTACAGGTGTCCAGAAATTTGGACCCGGGCCAGAATTTTTTAGCGACCCTGGGTGAGCGTTTTTGGGTGACCGTAACGTAAATACGTACCTTATAACCGGGTCATTATTGACTAACCTGCAGAAGCACGTATGGAGGTCGGAAAATTTGCATCGGGCTAAAATTTTTTGGCGACCACGGGTGTAGCGTTTTGGGTGACCGTGACGTAAATACGTAACTTATAAACGGGTCTTTCTTGACGAACCCGCAGTACTAATGTATGGGGGTCGCAAAATTTAGATCGGGCTGGATTTGTTTAGCGGCCTTGGGTGGAGCGTTTTGGGGAACCGTGACGTGAATACGTAAATTAAAACTCGGTCAGCATTGACAAACTCATTGTAGTATTGTACAGGAGACAGGAAATTTTGGCTCCGGACGGATTTTTTCAGCGACCCCGGGTGGATTGTTTTTGGGAACCGTGACGTATACTATAAATGGGTCAGTATAAAAAAATTCGCCGCGGTAATGTACAGGTGTCCGGAATTTGGACCCGGCCAGAATTTTTAGCGACCCCGGGTGGAGCGTTTCTGGGGAACCGTGACGTATATTATAACCGGGTCACTATAAACAAATCCGCCGTGGTAATGTACAAGGCGTCTGAAAATGTAAACCCGGGACAGATTTATTTCGGGACCTCGGGTGGAGCGTTTGTAGGTGACCGTGACGTAAATACGTAACTTATGACCGGGTCTTTATTGGCGAACCCGCAGTAGCAATGTACGGGAGGTCGGAAAATTTAGATCGGGCTGGATTTCTATTGCGGCTTTGGTTGGAGCGTTTTTGGGGAACCGTAATGTGAATACGTAAATTATAGCCTGGTCATTATTGACGAACTCGCCGTAGTACTGTACAGGAGACAGGAAATTTGGGCCTCGGACGGATTTTTCTAGCGAAACCGGGTAGAGCGTTTTTTGGAAACTGTGAAGTATATTATAAATGGGTCATTAGAAAAAAATTCGTCGTGGTAATGTGCAGGTGTCCGGAATTTGGACCCGGCCAGAATTTTTAGCGACCCCGGGTGGAGCGTTTCTGGGGAACCGTGACGTATATTATAACCGGGTCACTATAAACAAATCCGCCGTGGTAATGTACAAGGCGTCTGAAAATGTAAACCCGGGACAGATTTATTTCGGGACCTCGGGTGGAGCGTTTGTAGGTGACCGTGACGTAAATACGTAACTTATGACCGGGTCTTTATTGGCGAACCCGCAGAAGCAATGTACGGGAGGTCGGAAAATTTAGATCGGGCTGGATTTCTATTGCGGCTTTGGTTGGAGCGTTTTTGGGGAACCGTAGTGTGAATACGTAAATTATAGCCTGGTCATTATTAGCGAACTCGCCGTAGTAATGTACAGGAGACAGGAAATTTGGGCCACGGACGGATTTTTCTAGCGAAACCTTGTAGAACGTTTTTGGGGAACCGTGACGTATATTATAACCGGGTCACTATAAACAAATCTGCCGTGGTAATGTACAAGGCGACAGAAAATTTCAACCCGGCGCAGATTTATTTCGGGACCTCGGGTGGAGCGTTTTTAGGTGACCGTGACGTAAACACGTAACATATGACCGGGTCTTTATTGGCGAACCCGCAGTAGCAATGTACGGGAGTTCGAAAAACTTAGATTGGGCTGAATTTCTTTTGCGGCTTTGGTTGAAGCGTTTTTGGGGAACCGTAACGTGAATACGAAAATTATAGCCTGGTCATTATTGACGAACTCGCAGTAGTAATGTACAGGAGACAGAAAATTTTTGCCACGGACGGACTTTTTTAGCAAAACCGGGTGGAGCGTTTTTGGGGAACCGTAACGTAAATACGTAGCTTATAATTGGGTCATTATCGACGAACCCGCAGCAGCACGTACGGGGGGTCGCAAAACTTAGATCGGTCTGGATTTCTTTAGCGGCCTTAGGTGGAGCGATTTCGGGGAAATGTCACGTGAATACGTAAATTATAACTCGGTCAGTATCGACGAACTCGCCGTAGTAATGTACAGGAGACAGGGAATTTGGGCTCCGGACGGATTTTTTTAGCGAACCAGGTGGAGCGTTTTTGGGGAACCGTGACGTATAATATAACTCGGTCATTATAAAAAATTCGCCGTGGTAACCTACAGGTGTCCAGAAATTTGGACCCGGGCCAGAATTTTTTAGCGACCCTGGGTGAGCGTTTTTGGGTGACCGTAACGTAAATACGTACCTTATAACCGGGTCATTATTGACTAACCTGCAGAAGCACGTATGGAGGTCGGAAAATTTGCATCGGGCTAAAATTTTTGGCGACCACGGGTGTAGCGTTTTGGGTGACCGTGACGTAAATACGTAACTTATAAACGGGTCTTTCTTGACGAACCCGCAGTACTAATGTATGGGGGGTCGCAAAATTTAGATCGGGCTGGATTTGTTTAGCGGCCTTGGGTGGAGCGTTTTTGGGGAACCGTGACGTGAATACGTAAATTAAAACTCGGTCAGCATTGACAAACTCATTGTAGTATTGTACAGGAGACAGGAAATTTTGGCTCCGGACGGATTTTTTCAGCGACCCCGGGTGGATTGTTTTTGGGAACCGTGACGTATACTATAAATGGGTCAGTATAAAAAAATTCGCCGCGGTAATGTACAGGTGTCCGGAATTTGGACCCGGCCAGAATTTTTAGCGACCCCGGGTGGAGCGTTTCTGGGGAACCGTGACGTATATTATAACCGGGTCACTATAAACAAATCCGCCGTGGTAATGTACAAGGCGTCTGAAAATGTAAACCCGGGACAGATTTATTTCGGGACCTCGGGTGGAGCGTTTGTAGGTGACCGTGACGTAAATACGTAACTTATGACCGGGTCTTTATTGGCGAACCCGCAGTAGCAATGTACGGGAGGTCGGAAAATTTAGATCGGGCTGGATTTCTATTGCGGCTTTGGTTGGAGCGTTTTGGGGAACCGTAATGTGAATACGTAAATTATAGCCTGGTCATTATTGACGAACTCGCCGTAGTACTGTACAGGAGACAGGAAATTTGGGCCTCGGACGGATTTTTCTAGCGAAACCGGGTAGAGCGTTTTTTGGAAACTGTGAAGTATATTATAAATGGGTCATTAGAAAAAAATTCGTCGTGGTAATGTGCAGGTGTCCAGAAATTTGGACCCGGGCCAGATTTTTTAGCGACCCCGGGTGGGGCGTTTTTGGGTGACCGTGACGTAATTACGTAGCTTATACCGGGTCATTACTGACGAAACCGCTGCAGCACGTACGGGGGGTTGCAAAATTTAGATCGAGCTGGATTTCTTTAACGGCCTTGGGTGGAGCGTTTTTGGGGAACCGTGACGTGAATACGTAAATTATAACCCGGCCAGTATTGACGAACTCGTTGTAGTAATGTACAGGAGACAGGAAATTTTGGCTCAAGACGAGTTTTTTTAGCGACCCCGCGTAGAGCTTTCTGGGGAATCGTTCCGTATAATATAAAAGGGTCATTATAAAAAATTTCGCCGTGGTAATAGGCAGGTGTCCGGAAATTTGGACCTCGGGTGGAGCGTTTTTGGGGAACCGTGACGTGAATACGTAAATTATAACCTTGTCATCATTGACGAACTCGCCGTAGTAATGTACAGGGGTCCGGAAATTTGGGCACAGGACGAATTTTTTTAGCGACCCCGGCTGGAGGGTTTTTGAGTGACCGTTACGTAAATACGCAACTTGTAACCGAAACATTATTAACGAACGCGCCGTAGTAATGTACATGGGTCCGGAAATTTGGAACCCTGCCGGATTGCTTTAGCGACCCTGGGTGGAGCGTGTTTGGGAACCGTGATTTGCTTCTGATTCGGGACAAGGCCTTACTGCTCTACTTGTAACGTAGTCGCTTTTATGTAACTACGTAGCTCAAACTGACGTTGATTTGGCCGTCAGTCCAGAGGTTTTGGAAAACAGAAACCTATTCAGAGATCCCTTTGCCGCGTCAGCTGCCGCTAATGGTTACGTAGACGCTCAGCTATTGCTTCTGTTGCGGTCTTACCAAAATATGTCTTTCATAAAAAGAAAATCTACATGCTCGCTCGCTTGCCTTAAGGGCGGTTACGACGTGTATACTAGTACAGTAGTTCTTGCAGTAAATTGCAAGACTCATTGCACAGTGCTGTTTGCACAGTGCAATGAGTTTTCTAGACGATAATTTCATAAAATAATATAATAATTTTAATATAGATTCTTTAATTTTGCATTTTCGACTTATTTAGGGATCTCGATTCCGTGCGCCGTGGCCCGTGGGGGCTGCATCGCACCTGGTTGCAGCGCAGCATTTTGGGATAAGGGAGTTCCAAAATCGCTTTTCCAGAGGGAAGTCATGGCAGCTAATAAGCAGGGTGCGTTACCGTTTGTATGTACAAATTTACATGTTAGTGTTCACAGTAATATACTGTATCGATGTTAACTTTATTTTAAACCATCACTTGTTAGTTGTTACTGCATTCAGTTGCTGCATAACAGGTTTTACAAATTTCATTTTCACTTTTTTTCATTCTTTAATTTCATTTTTGGCAGTTTCTTGAAGTCGCTAATGAACACAAATTAATAATGCCCCACTGAATGCTTAATTGTTGAATGCTAATTTTGATTCTGTTGTTAAATGTTGTGCTAAAATAATTTAGTTCTTATTTTAATTTGTAAATATTTTAACATGTTGAATAATAATTTCTGGAAATTTTTGTGGGTTTTAATCAGATTCCAGACCGTGCTTGTTTTAACAGGAAATGGCTGGTACTCGGTGGAGTTGTACTGCAACTGTATCGATGTAACACTGGGCGCGAAGGGCGTCATCTACCAGGTGGACTTCGATCCGCAGCCCGGCAATCGCTCCCAGCGCTTCGGCATCATGCACCGCTGGGCCGACAAAAAACAGATGGTTGAGAACTCCTACATCTTCGACGGCGGCAGTGTTCTGTACGTCGGCCCATCCGCTGCCGAATTAATAACCGAGGTAGGCGCTTCATATTTTCTGCTCACTGAATCTTATAAATTTCTACAATTTACAATTTCAGAGTGATTTTGTTAATGAAATAACTGATCTTATCTGCGTATTAGTAATTATCTGCTGTATATTTTGATGTTTTTTAAAGTGTACAAAAAACATGTGCAGTACTTGTATTTTTTTCAGTACAGATATTCGCATCTACCTCGTAAAATTATATTCACACATACATTAATAGGTATTATATGCTTTTAGCTTTTTTAAATGTTTTGGCAACAGTTTTTATAATTTTTTAAAAATTTTATTCGGTAAAAAATCTGTGATTTATAAAAACGACCGCACCGGAAGTTCCGAGAGAGACATTTACACAGCAACTGAATCAAAGATGAATTTGTTGTAAAATGAAGCGAATTTGCGGGACGTTGTTTTTATTGATTTTTCAATAATTTCGATATTTTTATGGCGCCGATAGGAGTGCGAAGATGCGGTGGAGTTCAATCAGCAGGATATGAAGGTGCGCATGCGGCGCACGGCAAATCTGGACGCGCAGAATCCGCAGGTGCTCGTCATCCTCAATTCCCAGTTGAACCGGTACGGTCTTTGAAAAGTTATGATGGAATTAATGATAAATATACAATTATTTACAATTAAAATTAATGGATCATTAAAAGGTGAAAATTAAATTGCTTATTCGCTGATTTGAATTGTGCCAGCCGCGTTCCCTCCTTACTGAGTGACAACGACTTGACCGGCAGCTTTGAAATTTTGTGTCGAAATTTCTAGTCAGTATTAGTGAAAATTGATTATTAATTAAATGCGTTTCAAAACTATTTTGTTTACGCAACTGAAACGTTTTGACATTTGTTGATCATTGTTCAAATTTAGATTCCAGGAGCACGATTTGAAGATGGTCCGCATTCAGGATAACTGCTACGATCCGGCTGGTAAATTGGAACCGGAAGGTTACCAGAAACGGTAAATTCCATTGCACTGTGAGCGGAGAAGCGGCTCACGTACAGCGACAAAATCTTTCAAATGATTTCAACGTATTGCGCCGTGGTGCAGTGGTACTGTACTGCCTACGCGGATCTAACGACGTAGCCGGGGTTCGATTCCCCCATCGGCGCCTTTTTCAGCCGTTTCTCGGTTTCCCTCGGATTGCGCCCTGCTTAGAGCACCATTTTTCTGAAAATTGCTTTAATTCTGTATTTTTGCTTTTGATAATTGTAGCCTGGAAATCTGGCCGGGCTTTGAGACTTCCATTGGGATTTTCGAGCAGAATCGCGTCTTGATGAGCGTCGATCAGCGCTTCCGCATTATTCGGTACGTTGATTTTCTGTTCTTATTTTATTTTCACGATAATTTCGTCTTTAGTGTTTCAGAATATTTTGTACAAAGTCTGAGTCTCTTTTTTTTTCGAGATAACCTGCTCGTTTTCCTTGGCAGACAAAGCGCTCGCGATGCGATGCTGGAGGCGTGGAAAAGTGCGGCAGAACCGATATCTGGAAAGAAAAATACTTTGAGAAATATTCGTAAAGAAGTGGACCTGTTAATCGTTGGCCAAAAAGTCCTCGCGATGTATAATTATTGCTTCAATATTTCGAGCTTCTCTGCCATCACTAATATTATTATTAGATTTTCTTTAATTTTCTGTAGCTTAGTTAGTTTTTATTCTATCAATCTTTAATTTTATTCAAAAGAACAGTGCATTCTTCGGTACCTGAAACAAATAATTTTTTCCACGAATAACGGTGACGAGAGTTAAATAATTTACAATAATCTAGCGGGTTTCCTTATTTTCAGGTACAATCACAAATTGTACACAGTACAATATGTCATGTGGACAAACTCTGCGGGCGGGTTTTTCGCGTACACACCCCGTGGCACCGATAAATCGAAGCAAAAGAAAATCTCCTTCGTCGATTATTTTTGCCATGTAAGAATTTGCATTTTTCCTTCTTACACTTTTCCTCATGTGTTTGTTGTTGATAGCTTTTCGACTTGAAGTTGGCGGATGCCAGTATTTATTGATATTTATTATTGATATGTGTTTTTTTATTTATAGCGCTACCATATGAACGTGACCGATCACGATCAGCCGTTGCTGGTCGTGTTGCCGGCCAACAAGGCCATGCGTTGCCGCGGCACGGAGATTCTACTGGTGCCGGAACTGTGTCGCCTGACTGGATACACTGACCAGATCCGCGCTGATTTCCGCATAATGCAGGCAGTGTCGAAGCACACCAAGCTGGATCCCGATCGCCGCAAGAACGCCACGGAGGTCTTTATCCGCAAGCTGATTGAGTACGTATTAGCGTTTTGTAATTTAATGTACTGAAGCGTTTATTTTCACGTAATTGTTGTTGGTTTGTAAGACGATCTTTTTCGAAAATTTTTCTGAATTTTTCCATTTCCGACAAAGAAATGCAGAGTTTTAGTTTTAATGAGAATATGCAGGAGGAAATTTTTCTGAACTTTTCCATTTCCGGCAAAGAAATGCAGAGTTTTGGTTTTAATGAGAATATGCAGGAGGAACTGCAGCACTGCGATGTGTAGTAAAATGACATTTAATTTCAAATTACTAATTATTAATTACTACTGTAATTACTGGTACGGAAAAGATTCTTAATTTTTTTGTTCGGAAATTTAATTCGGTTTTTGGCTTTCTTTAGCAATGAGAATGTGCAGAAGGAGCTGAAGCTGTGGGACGTGCAGTACGGCAAGGAACTGGTGAAATTCTCGTCCCGCTGTCTGCTACCGCAACGGCTGTCCCAGGGAGAACACAAAGTAAGGTCATGATCTTCAGCGCAGAATTAAACGAAGTGAAAATGAGGATTGTTGTGTGCTTGCAGTACTTTTATGATCCTATTAAGGCCGACTGGAGCACGCACATGAAAAACATTCCATTCCAGACGGCCGTGGTGCTGGAAGGAAACTGGCTTGTGCTGACCACACAGCCTAACCTGGGCATAACGAATGAATTTATACGCCAGATTATTCAGGTCGCTGTGCCGACGGGGATGGTTGTCCTGCATCCGAGAGTGTAAATTCATAGCACATTTTTTTTCCTTCGTAGTTAATAGTGGTAATGACGATAAAAAAATACTTCGACGTTTTTATAATCCCCGACACTTACACAACGTATTCGCGTACTGGGCACCAGAGACAGAGTATTCGCTAAATTAAAAACATAAAAAACTTCATAATTTTTTATTAATCTCCGCACAAGCTTGTATAAAAACATTAGTTATCACGTAATCAATTTTTGAAAATTCTTTGTCACGTGGAGCAAGCGGCGAATACGAATCTCCAATATCCGGTATACAGACCTTTTGCAAATCCCTGGAATGCGAAAAACGCCGAAGTGTTGCAAATCGGTTAATTAATGTAATAATTAGTTCTTTGATAATCAGTATTTTAATCTGGCTTATTTACGATATCATTAAATACAGTGATTATTTATTTTTCTGGCGATTATTTAGGTCGAAATTTTAATGGCGCTGTGTTGGCAGTATTGTGACTTGTTGTATGGTGAAAGTTTGCCGTTTATACCTCACTGATTTTCGCAGGGAAATTGTGGCTGATGTGTCTCGCTCCTACATTAAGCGAATAAAGGAATTGTATCATCCGGGCTTAAAACTGGTATAATGACACCGGCTCCGCTGTTGTATTTTGTTTGTCCGTTTTGTGATTCACTTTATTTATTCGTAGATTATGGCGGTGTTTTCCAATCCCACAAAGGACCGTTACGACGCATTTAAACAATTATGTTGCCGTCGACATTGTAAGTTGTTTTTCAAAAATTCTTTTTTTTTTATTTTAAATAAGTTTTGTTATTGTTTTCTTTTAATTCCAACTGCAAGCCAGTTTTTCCTTTATTTACTTTGTTCGTTAAATTGATTTTGCGTTTAGGCGCTTCCCAAGTCATTCTGGCAAAGACGATCAGCGGCGCCCCCGGAAAGATCAAGAGCGTGGCCACCAAAGTGTGCATGCAGCTGAACGCCAAGCTCGGCGGCGACATCTGGACGATGCATGTACGTTTCATTCGTTTTGCGGGCGTGATTAATAGCTTTACAATTAATAATTGGTTTAATTAATCATTTATTACGCAGCTTTTAATCTTTGATCTGATGTTTAGTTTGTGCGGAACCTTAACGATTACTCGTTTGATTGTTGATCTAATTAATCGCATAAATATTAGCAAATTGCTATAAGTACCCCTTTCACCCCCGTTATCTAAATTAAGCTGACCTTAGTTTTTTTTGCGGTGCATCACAGATGCCTGGAAATTATAATCATTGCTGATTGCTTTTGTTTAGTTCCCGCTTCAGACTGCAATGGTCATCGGGATTGGCAGTCAAATCGATCGTAGAATGCAGAAAATTGTGGTGACGGCCGCGGCGGCCTGGAACGTGGGATTCTCCAAGTACTATAATTGTGCGGTCTATGTGGACGATGACGATGAGATGTTAACTTGTGTTCCGCAACTCATAAAGGGTAAAAAGAATTAATTCTGTCAGTACAGTACTCGTATAAAATTATGATTCAGCAGAGGTCATGGCATTTTCTTACAGAATGTCTCCATTATTTTTACGCAAAACGACACAATTTTCCTGCGAGTGTGTTTATTTACCGTCACGGTAAGCTTTGCCGGACCTTGTTAGAAAATTACTGGCTTGGAATGCGGGCTGTTATTGCATGTGTTTAATCCTAAATTGACTGATTGTAAATTTAGGAATATCCGAGGGTCAGCTGGGCAATATTAAGGAGATAGAACTGGCCGGTGTGCGCAATCTCACCAATGGCCTGTCTTGGGACAGAAAGTATGTAAATATGGCAGTTTATGTGTGTCAAGTTTTGATATTTCGATATTTCGTGGCACATCTTTTATTTTGCTTGTTTTGTGTGTAGGATTACGGTTACTTATCTCCTTGTGAACGAGCGACCGAGCATTCGCTTCTTTAAAAACGACAACGGTCGAATTGATAATCCTCTGCCAGGGACGATTGTGGACAGCATCGTGACACGCGAATCTCTGTACGGTGTTTTCTCCTACTAAGAATGTTCACGTGGAAATTTAAATTTATTAATAAAAAATTTTAAGATCAAATAAATTCATTGCAGCTACGACTTTTACGTCGTATCACAGAGTGTGCGCGAGGGCACGGTGGCGCCGACATACTACAACGTTATCGACGACGATTCCCAGCTGAATCCGCAGCATCTGCAACAGATGACGTACATGCTGTGCCACATGTACTACAACTGCTCGGTAGGCATGCAGCGTGATTTCTTACAGTTGTTTCAGCTGTTGACAAAAATTGTAAAAGGATAGTGCTTTTTCAGCGGGATACGTTTGTACAGTATAGCTTTAACAAAAATTAATTACCTTGAAATCTGAGTGTGATTGGTTTCAGGAAACTATTCGCATGCCGGCTCCCGTACAATACGCTCGGAAACATGCTAGGTTCATTGCTAAGCATCTGCACAAAATCGCACCGGACCTCTTCCGCCAGTGCATGTTTTACCTGTAACAGCTTAATTTAAGATTGCTGCAAAACATTCTGCGAATTACTTCTTTCGGAATCATTCTGCCAAATCTAACCTTTCCATATCGTCGGTATCTTCTTGACATCTGTCTTCATAGCCTTTTTTATTTTCTGGTCAATTAATGCGGAATAATTGCCGGTGATTTTTATTAATATTTTTATTTATTTTATTTGCCTGTTCATGAGACTGTTCTATAAAGTAGTGCGAAATGTTCGGCATGTGACCGTGTTATGACCATTAGATTTGTAAGTTAAGTTTGAATAACACGAGCAGTTTATCAAGTCAGTAAGGCTGCCTTACTAAGGCAGCGTGTTGATGCACGGCTTGGGTGATCGATGTTTGGAATGAAGGGCTTATTGTCAATTTCGACGTTTCCGACAGAAGAGCGGAGCCGGTTACATACGGACACGCATTCCATCGCTATTCCCAAGGGGAACGCTGCTTCGGCATGTATGCAGTTCTCCTGCACATACCGGCATTTGGCACCATGTAGCGGGTCACTTCACTTATCAGGCCTTAAGCGCTGTATGCGAGGCCAAGGATAACGGGCAGTGGAAAACGACTTCTTCTGTTTTTCTTTAGTAAATAAAAGTTCACGACTCCACGTGGAAGTTCTGTACCGAGCGTACGGCCAATCTTACTCGCCAAACGTTAGAATACAACATATGCAAGCACAGCAGAAGACAAAGTCAATAATAAAATAAAACCTTTAAATGAAAATAAAAAACAATATTATTAGTAAATAAGTGAAAACACGGCATTAGGTACCGGTTAATGAAAGCCAGAATTGTACAGGATAAAAGCGAACACTACCAGTTGAAAATATAGCTGAAAAGAACAAATACAATTCAGATCCAAAGCGCCGCAACGGATAAAATAATTGCCGAGATAAAGGGAAAGCCGGTCATTAGAGGAGAATGCGCTTCTCCACCAGTTTGCGACAAATGGGACACTCGGTAACGCGGTCCCCGCACAGCTGGCAGGTGCCGTGTCCGCACAGGAAGATCATGTTCTTGATGCGGTCCATGCACACCGGGCACATCGTCTGCAACCATCACTCAACCATGTACAAACAGTTTCCGCATTTAAAAAAAATTTATATATTTTATTGTCATTCTTCTACAATTTTTCTTGAAAAATTACGGGAATCAATTTAATTTTTAAATCTAATTTTTATCCGGCGAGTTTTCCAGGTTCTCGTATATTTTTATCAGCTGATGAATGACTGGGATAATTTTGTGACAAAACATCAAGTAATCAGCGCCATAACTAAGTACAATTCACAGAATCTGCTTTCTATAATACAAGATTTTTTATTGGGAAAAAATCTGGAAATAAATTTATGTATCTTTCGAGCTGAATAATTTTATCAATTATTATCAAATATCAGGCAAATAAAATACAGAGGTGACCTGTGCCGGTACCTACGAAATATATAAAATGTTTTTCTAATATCACAGAATTAACAAAAGGTGTTTCTAATTAAATGCCGAATTATTTAAAAAAAAAACTTTTTTCTCTATTTTTGGCGCACCTGTTCCTTGATGTCGTGCAGCTGCTGCTGCAGCTTGGTGACGTCGGTGGGCGCGTTGGTGTGCTTGGCGACGGAGACGTTGTTGGGTTTGTAGTTGGTGTTGTTCATCGACATGTGCTCCGGAGCCAACGGCACCGGCGCCGGCGACGGCGGCGCTACAATCGAAGAAAACCCTTTTGCAATATCTGTTATTTATTTTGAATATTATTTATTCGGACAACAACTATTTAAAACCGCGCCAAATGAATTTTATTTTTTTATAATAAAAACACAGCATTTGTGCATACGAAAAATCTTTACAAAACAAACTGGTTTCGCATTATAAAAAACTGCGGATTAAAAAATGTCACTAGGGAAAATTAAAAATATCAGAAATTTCTTTTATAGTTTAAAAACCCTCAAATTTTGGTAGAAAAAATAAAAAAACTTATTTTTCAAGTTAAACTGTAAATACTGACGAAATTTCTACAATATAAAAGGAAGAAGCAATAAAGAAACATAAATAAAAATCGCTGAAAAATTCGGTTGCGTACCGGAAGCGGCGCAGCAGACGGCGTAGGGTACCTGGCGCTCAATGGGCAGTCGGCAGTTGACGCACTTCTTGATGAGCGGCGCGCACTGCGCACAGACGCACTTGTGACCGCAGGGCTGGAAGAGCACCGCCGCTTTCCGCTCCGAACACAACAGACACTCCTCGATGGTTGACTCACCACTGTCTCCTGCAATCACTTCCTGCTGCAGCAACGCGCCGACCTTATTACAACCATACGCTATTCTACTACACCACTGTACGGACTGTAAGCAGTTTAACAAAACTGTAATGCGATTATTAACCGCAAAGAAAAAAATTAATTAAAGGCTTTTCTCCATACACTATCAAATAGCAAAACATGTAATAATTTTCGAAACAAAATACCGGTGACTGCCTTCACACTACGTTCAATTCCACATTACAGAAAAACCATCCAACATGTCATTTATAGATTGCAGAACAGAAACTATCAAAAAAATAGTGCGAAAGTAAAGACGTTTACGAAAAATAACGGAATTAAATAACGCTTAAAGTTTGATATAAAAAAATATCAGAAAATAACAAAAAGATTCAAAAAATGACAACAAAAAGTATACTTCATCACAAAAAAAACGGATTGGCACTGTTTCCGCTAGGGCAGCTGTACTGCACAATAGCATGAACATACTCTACAATGTGGAGTCTACAATAAGTTGTCAAAACTGTAATTAAGATTATTTAAAACTTCGCTCTTCATTCTAATACGCAGACTCCAAATGGCGCAGTTCATTAATTCTAGCCGATTTGTTCCGCGTAGTTATTATTCCGATTTAATTCGCTCATTATGAACATGATACGAACGTTACGGGCGCAATGCGGTAGATTGTCTTAAAATGTCTTTAGCGCTCGACGCGGTCTAAGCGACTAAGCCTACCGCTACGGAACACCAATATCAAATCTTGTTGCGACTCCACTGCTGTCAGTGTGCTGTCTGCAAGGTCAGCACAATATAATGGATAGCCGGATACATACACTCGCAAAGTATCTTAACTTGAGAATTTAATGTAATACCGTGCAGTCGACAGAGTAGTTGCCGGATGGTGATGACAATTAACGAGGGCACCTTCTAGTAAAACATTGAAAACAGCCATTCAGCATAAGCCGCTTCTCTGCATAGTTCTTAAAAATTCTGTGCGAGCAGTGTCTTGCGCAGCGCTGTGTTATGCTGGTCTTCCATGAACAGCAAACGGAGTCGTCCAGTCGAAATCACTGCAACAATACTTTGAGCTTGTGCATCATTTAAACCAGTAACAGGTAATACTATTGTAGCCGGTATGCGCGAGCTACGAAGTGCTCGTATATACTGAAAACTCGTGATTTAAAAAATTTTCTAACTTTCAAAGTACTCGGTTAAATCAGCTCTACCAGAAGGTCACTTTCGGCCTCACAATGAGCAGCTTCCGAGCATATTCGCACTGTGCGCCCCGTTGGAACGCCGTTGTTGTGAAGGGCGATGACGGTCTTCTGCAGCACGGTTGGGTGATCAATGTTCGCGACGGGCGACTTATTGTCGATTTCGACGTTCCCGGCAGACGAGGGGAGCCGGTGAAAGACGGACAGGTGTTCCATCGCTATTTCCAAGGGGAATGTTGCTACGACGAGATGGAAACAGCCTCGTTTCAGAAGGTATTACAGCGTGATCCCGTCCCGCAGATTGAGGTACTGGGGCGCTTTACGTGTGCGCAACCGTGGACCTGGTATCCCGCACAGCTTCTTCTCGGTCGCTTGTTGTGGAGAGGATTCGTTTTGGTGGAGATTAAAATTCGTGAGCATGTGTTTCAGCAACTGATTTCGGCTCATGCGGTGCGTATTGTGCCGGCCGCGGGAAACACACCCACGGTTATCCGAAAAGCAGCATTCGTAATTAAAGCATGTTCCCTGCCTGTTAACTTATTTTGGGATCGGGATCTGGTTGATGTTGCCTCGTGGAACCTGAGCCGGGAAATGTTTCAAGCCTTTCAACGAGAGATGGCCCTACTTTCCACTACGCTACTCAGATTATCCTGTTTCTGTGAACCATGGGAAGCTGGTTTACCTCCAATACATACGCAAATGGGAATTCGAGGTTAACAGTCCCGTAACTGTGGTAAGCAACTACTTATTTGAACAATTACATGGCACGACGCGAGGAGCATTCCGCTCTTTAATTCATCGTGAACGAAAACAACAATAACAATGAGCCGCGAAAATATTATGGCACGTATAACCATGGACAGTATGGAACCCTTGTGACGCCATACACTACAATATAGTATCCGATAACGCACATTGTGGACACTGCGATTAGTTTCAATGTATAATGATTACCATTAATTAATTATGTAACAATGTTACTGTAACTGCCAGGCATATACACTTATGTGTTACATGCACAGTGCATGTAATTACCTTGTGCGCCTAACATCCGGTTGTTCTGTGAGTAACGGTTGTATTTGCGTAAAATGAGAGTGCACTACATAAGCGCATGATGCACTTTATATAATACGGACTGCACTCTCACTTTATGCAAAGTGCAACCATTACTCACAGCCCAGCCACACATACAATATAGATTGTGAACCAGCACGTTTTGCAAACCACGCCTGATTCTTCCTAGCGTGTAAATGCAATAATAAACATTGTGCACATGGAACCGTCGTGCGTACCTATCTCTTCAAATTTTTAGATGCGCTATGTTGTGGAAATAAAAGAGGAGAGTGAGAAGCGCCTGTCCGATGGATGGCTTCTGGCTGAATCCCGCTGGATCCCACCACCGCAGCAACTATTTCCGCAATCATCCGATTATTCCACCGCATCGTTGCCGCAGCTGCCAATGGAGATTCTGCAGCTGACCTTCCAGTGTATGCTCACTGTGGATGGTGCCAAGTGTCGCCGTGTCTGCTCGTTGTGGAACGCGCTTCTGGACACCAGACTGACCAGCGTGATAGTGTGGGTATCCTTCTCTGCACCCACGATACCCGACGCCACCACGGCGTCCCGTGCCGAACGTGAGGTGTGGCGGCGTTCAGCGTACACCGTGGGCGGTTGCTTGTTGCAGTGCGTCACACCGGCTACGCAGCGGATCATTATCAGCAATGCGCTCTTCGACTGCTACTTTGCTTTTGTGAGCGACTGCATGCGGGTCATCCAGTTCGCCAACAAGGATACAGTTATTACAGTAACCCAGACATATACTGTCATTCTGCATAAAGTCCGGTTGCACTTGAACAGCTGTTTTTTTGATACAAGCAACACTTTGGTTGGTAATGAAGTTGAAGTGGCATCCGTAGTTGACACCGTGCTATGGAAGGACTGCACGTTCACGGGGCCTTCCGCTTACGAGGCCTTGCTAACCGAACCGTTGCGCTGTGGTAGAATGACGGCGAATCAGGAAGACCAGCAGTTACCAACCGATGTGCGTCGCTTCGTGGAGAACCACCTTAACGTTAGTAGAATGTGCCCGATTTTCAAGGATGTCTAATCGATTGCTGATACAGCGGAGGATGAATACTAGCTTGCGACTCCAGTAATTATTGCATCTTGAAACATCACTGATCCGATTCTAAGTACTGATCGTTTCTCCGAAAGTCAGTCTGTTTGGCTTTGTTTTGCTGTTATTCAAGAACAAGTAAACTTCGACTAACAAGTAAGCTCGTGGTAGCAAAGCCAGCACATGTAAACCCAGTGGCATCCATGGTAACAATCTGTAGGGTGACCACTCGGCCTAACATAATCAAGGTGGTAACGGTCAGCAGTCTATAAACACTGGCCGCACTAAAAGGATCGCATAGTTTATATGATTACGCATCGGTTTAGCTTTTTACTTTCTGGCAAATTATCGCAAATCTTGTTTACGATTTCTCTGTCCCTTAATATCCTGTACATACAGTAAGACTGTTTCGGCTTTTCCGACCATTTGCCAGCCGATGTGGTATCGATTTCACGCGGCAGTCCGCAGATACTTGCGGACCGACAAATCTGCAGTACCCGAGAAAAGATTCGCTGTGTCGGCGAAATCACTGACCGACGACGACGTTCTGTGCCGAAACCTTTTTCTTTCGTTCCCTTGCGCAGCTGTTTTTCTAATTGTGTGTGCAAGAGATAAGATAGCAACTGGTCGGTCGGTGTACAGAAACCAGCTGGTCAACAATGTGCGGGTTCAGTGAGTCGCTGATATTGTACTCATGCTTTGTGTTTCGTACAGGAACCATTTGTCGTCGACTCTGGGTGCAGTAAGATATCCATACACGTTATCGTTAAAACCCGACCAAATCGCAAGGATTTTACCTAATTAAGCGCTATTTACGAGACCCAGGATAACTCATAACTGCTAGAAGAAAATCGATTCTGCCTGCTTTTTTTTAATAAGAATTCACCACTTTATGTAGACGTTCTGTACCCAGCGTACGCCAACCTTACGAGCCAAACGTTATAATACAAGCAGCAAACCAAATCCACGAAAACAGAAGAAAACATACATAATAAAATAACCATTAAATGAAAATAAAAAAATTATTAGTAAATGAAATGAAAACACAGCATGAAATACCGGTTATTTACAGTTAAGAGTTGTACAGAAAGCGGTGATAACTGGATAAAAACACAGCTAAAAACGAACGAAAAGAATTCAGATCCAAAAGCGCCGCAACGGATAAAATAAACGCCGAGATGAAGGGAAAGCCGGTCAGTAGAGGAGGATGCGCTTCTCGACCAGTTTGCGACAAATGGGGCACTCGGTGACACGGTCCCCGCACAGCTGGCAGGTGCCGTGTCCGCACAGGAAGATCATGTTCTTGATGCGGTCCATGCACACCGGGCACATCGTCTGCAATCACCACCAACCATGTACAAACAATTACTGCATTTAAAAAAATAATATAATTTATTGTCACTCTTCTACAATTTTTATTGAAAAATTACGGGAATCAATTTAATCCACAAAATTAATTTTTTATCCGACGATTTTTCCAGATTTTCCATTTTTTTAAACGGCGAACAAATGACTGGAATAACTTTGTGATAAAACACGATAACCACTGCTGTAACTAAGGACGACGTTCACAGAATCTGGTTTTTATAATCAAAGATTTTTTTAATAGGAAAAAAATCTTGAAATAAGTTTATCTGCCGAGCTTAATAAGTTTGGTCAGTTATTATCCAATATCAGTCAATTATGTTTCGTTCTTATTAAGCACGGCAGTCGCAGTGAAAGAATGCTAACGATTTGAATAAAATACAGAAGTGACCTGTGCCGGTCTTAAGAACTACGCAAGAATTTTTCTAACACCGAAGAGTCAACGGATGAAGTTTCTAATTAAATTGGGAATTATTTTAAATAAATTTCTTCATTTTTGGCGCACCTGTTCCTTGATGTCGTGCAGCTGCTGCTGCAGCTTGGTGACGTCGGTGGGCGCGTTGGTGTGCTTGGCGACGGAGACGTTGTTGGGTTTGTAGTTGGTGTTGTTCATCGACATGTGCTCCGGAGCCAACGGCACAGGCGCCGGGACCGGCGACGGAGAGGGCGGCGCTACAATCGGATACAAAACATTTAAAATACCTGTAATTTATTATGAATTTTCTATTTCTTCTGAAAACTGCTATTTATAATATCACCAAATTAATCGGCATTTTTTTGAGAACATATACACAGTATACGAAAATTCTTCATATAGTAGTCTGTCTTTTGATTAAAAAGGAGCAAAATGAAGAAACTCCTGCTTAGAAAGAGGCAACTTTACAAATATGTAACAGGTGATTTTCCTAAAATTACACTTTAAATATTCGTACAAATGCACAGGAAAACGGTAGCAAGTAATGTAGAAACAAGCACAGAAATTGCAGGAAAATTCGGTTGCGTACCGGAAGCGGCGCAGCAGACGGCGTAGGGCACCTGGCGCTCAATGGGCAGCCGGCAGTTGACGCACTTCTTGATGAGCGGCGCGCACTGCGCACAGACGCACATGTGGCCGCAGGGCTGGAAGAGCACCGCCGCTTTCCGCTCCGAACACACCAGACACTCCTCGATGGCCGCGCGACTCACCACCGCCTCCTGCAACCAGTTCCGAATGTCTTCAAACAGGTCATTTCCTCATTATAACCATACGCTACTATACCACTGTACTGCCTTTTTTCAGTATTAAACAAATCAAATCCCCAATAAATAATCATGCAACAAAAATAATAACAAGAATTTCTATCCATAAAATGATAATCATCAAACAAAGCCTGTTGTAGGACAAGTGGTAAACTACGCACCCGCATCATGGATGACAGCTTCCCTGCCCCTACACTACGTTCTGTTAACATTTCTAAGCAGAGACACTCATCGTCTCATCCAAATGCTCCAGATTTTATTATTTTACACATTTTAACAACGCCGACTGAAAGCATATACCGGCAACACTGCAACTCGCTACTTTTATCCTTATTCTTTATAATCATTTTTTAAATTATTTTTAATTTTCTTATATTTTTTATTATTTCAACTTTTTATAATAAAACCCTATAAAACATAACAAGACTACATAATCACTATAAAAAAATTAAACATATTTTTTATTTTTTCAGAAAGCAAAACAATGCGCAACGAAAACCGTTTGCGTGTTGCCGAAAAGTGCCGGAAACTGGCTGAACTGACCCGACAGACGAGGCATTTTTTGACGCGTGCCGCGCACTGCCCACACGCCGCCACGTGGCCGCAGGGTCCGAAGAGGGTGTCGCGCGGCTGATCCGAGCAGACCAGACAGTCTTTGGGGCACTCCTCCGTCCGCAGATAATTCCCCGTCGGACTCACCGTCCCGTTCCTACACCCACGCCACACACCATTAAATTCATGTTTTATATATCGGCAAAATTAATAACACTCACCGTCCCGTTCCTACACCCACGCCACACACCATTAAATTCATGTTTTATATATCGGCAAAATTAATAACACTACATTAACCATTCAACTAATTTATTCATTTATTTTCAGCAACCTTCTAGTTCATTCATTTGACGAGGTATTGGTTGTGTAATTTATTCCATTATGTACTGAGCAGTTTATTTCTTTACCGAGTACTCATTCTGTTTCGTTTTATTTTCCTTCTTTGCTTCTTTTCCTCGTATTTATTTAGTAATATAATATTTTTTCTGGGTAATGTACAGCATTTATACAGTGATTTGTCATGCATTTGCTTACTGTATTTAAATCTGGCAATGCATTTGTTTATTTATTTATTATTATTAATTTAATCTTTCATTAATTTATTATCGTGTAAAATCATTAATATAGTCTCATGTAAATTCATTTAATTATTTACGCGTTTCTTTACTGTGTAACTTACGCTTTGTCGGTCTGGCATTTGTTCAGGGCCTTGGCCAGATTGGGATCGGGACAGAGGTCCAGCGGCGTCTGACCTTTCTTGTTCTTCACCAGCAGATCGGCGCCGTGCGCCACCAGGAACAACGCCAGCGAGGCGCTGCTCTTGCTGTCCGTGCCCTGGGCCGCGTGCGCCGCCAATCCCATCAGCAACTGCAACGCATACACCACACTTACCACAGCAACAGTGTCCAACACCCATCGTCGCCAGCGCCAATGCTTTACTAATTTTTATAGTACATATTGTAATTTTTTATGTTTCTCATACCGAACTTTTTTTTTCTTACCATTTCTTAATCTGTACTATCATCATCGTATGTTTTTCTTAGGCCTTAATATTCTATGCTGTGTAGTTTAAATAATATACCGTAAGCAGCGGGATTATGGTACGTAATTTAATAGCCGTCAAAATTTCAATAAGACCCAAGGATAACATTTACTGGTCACCATAAACATACAACAATACCATTATTAACAGGCTGTAATTAATTGTCCATCTTCGGCAATATGCTACCACTTTATCGTAGGTTTTTCCAAATATTTTTTTGCGGAAAAATGTTAATACTTAGGCGCAAATTTCGATTCTACTCAAGACTATCTACGGTATTAAAAGGAAAAAATAGATATGGAACTGAGACAGCAAGACGATGTTAAAGTGCTCATAATACCCACGATTCAACGATACAATAACGCATGTGCCACAATTCTACGATCTCCCTACAGGGAGCGGCATCACAAAACCATATATGCAGAACGTATTAAAAACGGTCGAATTTCTACCGGTGATAAGGAAGAAAAACAATGGAGATTGACTGAACAGACAAATCCGGGCAGACATTCCAATAAAAAAATTCCTTTATTACCCGTTCGAGATAAAGCATATTAGTACAAGTGCCGGGGAAGGGAAAAGTGGGACTTACAATGGGATTGCCGACCTGGCTGTCCTGCATGTCCTGCAGTTGGCGGATCTGCGACAGGGTGTGACTGCGCAGGGCCTCGTGCAGCGCCGTGTCCCCGTCCTTATCCGCCAGGTTCACGTCGCCGCCTTCGCGCACCAGCATCTACAATTTTCCATAGAAAATACGATTTCTCACTAATTCAACCACAATAATTTTTATGCCTTAAATTAGTTCCATAAAAATCGATTTTAACATCAAACTGCTTCATAAATTAACAACAACAACCTGGAATGTTCCAGAATTAACAACAGACAGTGTTACATAATTGTCTGCAGGAATAACATGAAAAGGTTCAAAATAAGTATTAAGAAATTAACCGAGCGAATCAAAAGTTCAAACAAAATAATCTCCCGTGAAAACTAAGTGCAAAATTAAAATAAAAACTGTCCAACTCTGCAAAATTAAAAGCAGCATGTCTCGTTCGGGTTCCATAATAATCTGCTAGCAAATAAAATCGACGGTTAAATAAATAGAAAATAATAAAATGATTAAAATGTACACAATGCAAACTTGGCAGTACACCGTACTTGCAAACTTTGTGTACGGTAGCAATTAATAAACAAAATACATTTATGACAAATCCGGGTTGCAGTTATTGCAGATATTATCCCCAAAAATTCGATCGTTACCGCAAAAAATTAAAAAAGGTCATGTCAATAATAAATCGCGTACAGGGAGGAAGAACGATGTAATTTCCATGCCATAAAAAAAAACAGAAAAAATCGTATAATAAAAGGATTGTTAAATTTTAATTGTTTCTGTTCCTGTATAATTCGGGCAATTTTTCTCCCGTCGTGAATAGTCACTCATAACGTACCCGGACGACCTGGGTGTGCTGGCGCTCGACGGCCAGATGCAGGGCGGTCTGCTTGTTGACATTCTGCAGGTTCATGTTGGCGTGGCCCTGCTTGACCAGCAGTTCGGCCACCTCCAGGTGGTTGTTCAGCGCCGCCAGATGCAGCGCCGTGTACCCGTCGTCCTTCTGCTCGTCCACCAGCCATCCGCGCGACAACTTCCCCAATAAAATTCGCATGGCACTACACGCAAACAATTCTCCTTTAATAATTCTACCAGAACAGGGTGAACGGCGAGATGTGTAATTAATTAAGTCCAGACCAACCGCGCTTTTATTTTTATCTAAATTGATTATTGTCGAATCCGTAGTTCGTACGGCAGACGGCGGACTGTTTCCGCATTACTTTACCTAACCCGCTCTGATAAATACATTATTTTTTTATATTTTCTGTGCTTTTCTTGGGGGAGTTGCAGAGGAGCACGACCACTGCGGACCATTTACTCCACATTTTCACGTCATTTAATACTGATTTCCTTGAATTTATTCTTTTTTATTTCCCCCACGATCGACCGGGAATCATACATCGTAAACCCAAAAAGTAAGAAATTCTCAAAAATTAACCAAAAGAACATTTTCAACAGCTTGGTAAAATATCTTCCAGTAAACGGAGGTGAAAACAGACGAACAGTACTGTAATGTTAGCGAAAGGCACTCGTTACAGACTACAGTCGTTCTCTAACTTTGCATGAAATATTGTAGTGTGTTGGCTCAGATCTGTTGTAAATCCTTTGATAGAGCTTGTAAATAACGATGCGCTGTAAAGTTACGCTATGAAAAAAAACTTACTTTTTGTACATGTAATGGCAGTACTGCGGATTTCGTTGATTTATGAAACATTTACTTAGAAATATATTTATATATTTACGAAGTATTTAATTTGATTGGATTGATTTAAAAAAATAGGTAATAATTTTCATTTCAGGTAATCATAATTTCATTTCATGTAATAATAATAATAATAATTTTCACTTCTGGCAATAATAATTTCAAGTAATAATAAAGGTAATAATAATAATTTTCATTTTCACCCACTTATTATTATTTTCCCTGAAATTAGTCTTTTTTATTCCCCAGTTCACATGACCGTGAATCGTATGGGTAATTTGAAAACACGACATTCAGGTGGTTTCGAATTTCAAAATTAGTTAAAACATTCTCCAGCAGCCTGGTAAGATATCTCCATTAAAAGTAGTTGCAAAGTGTAAGCTAGATAAAGCATGGAATACCGTAGTGTGATGGCTCAGAACTGGGGATTATCTACTTATCACCATACATTTCACTTTACATAAGTTACGTGCTCATGTTCACAGTTCAGTTTTTCACATGGTAATTGCATTACTATAGATTGAACTAATTAATAAAATTTTTACTGACGCGTTAATCAAATTAGATTTATAAAAACTTCGCCCAAGGAAGCAAATGATACGCACACTGTCGTACAGCAGTAATTCCGGTTCAATAATTTAGTTAATTTAATTTGGCACCAATCATCCCACCGGTTACAGCAGTACATATATAGTAGCTACTGCACATTTTTTAAAAAAAATTAAAAAGTAAAAACAGCGATTTTTCACTGTGCGTCGCTGTAGCGGCGGGTGAGTAACACACGGAGCAGATAATCTCTTATCGCATCATTTAACCGTCCGTCAACACGCGCACAGTCCATTTCGTTCAGCGCGCCGCTGACTGGACAAACACACGCACAACTCGTCCATCATCCATTTTAGCCGGTTTTTTTTCTGCTGAATTCAGCATAATTTTCTCCAGCTATTTCATCAGCGCATACTGCAATCTATCTCCACTTGCTCTTAAATAATTTCCAATATTTTCAAATCAGCAGAATATTTTTTACAGAATTTTTTCCTTAATTCTTCCTAATTATATAATTATTTTTTTTCTGAATTTAAAAACATTACAGCACGTTTTATTGAATGTACATCATTTTTGGAGTTAAGTGCATTCTTGAGATTTTCTACGAATTTTTCTCTGACCGATAACCAAAGAGGAAATCATTTTCCGGTTAAATTTCCCAATTAAAGAAGAAACGACCGCATTTTTTGGAGAAGGTCAGCGGCATTAATGGGCCTTATCAGGCGCATCCATCGGACTGTGTAGTGTTTTCACCGTGGCCAATCACTCCACTGCCATCTCCATCTAAACTGGACCCAAATCGGCTTCACTGGCCTCATTTGGATAAATCAAACACAACAACTGTTGCCGTGTCTGCAGCGCCGCTGAATGATTACCGCTAAAAACGTCTGCAGCGTCATTTGGCAATCAAACGCTTCACACACTCATGTACACTGCATTCCTGATCCTTATCGTCATCCCAAATTGGATATGGCTATTTTAAGATTATTTATAAAATTTTCTCTCTGGAATATGCACGCTCGCAACCGGCTTCGCGGTACGTATAGTAAATAGCCGCTAAAATATTTTTAGCAAAACATTTCAATATTTTTAATGTTATTTTATTATTCTACCGCTTAGTCAACAGCTGCGTAATTTATAGTGGCTTTTATTTCAACACTAAACAATTTTAAATGGCTCATAATTGTGTGCGGAATTTCCTGATAAATCATTTTAAAAATATATTTCCAAGTTTATATTTTCTTAATCCCAATTTTGTCGCTAATTTATGTTTTTGGTCACAGAATTACAGAAAAACAATACTGGCATTGCCTGTGTGGATTTTGACCGGTTTTATTTTGTTTAAAATGTTCCAGTAGATATTTATTTCGACTACACAGTTAGTGTGAAATGCCGCACGAATTAAGTTTATATTTAATAAGAAATTATGTACCATAAAAAAATAATCTGCAATTAAACAGCCAGAAAAGAATTATTTTTAGCAATCAAGCTGGCATGTAAAATTATTTTCCACGCCTGCCTTTCATCGGAGCGGTAAGTTATGCAAATCGCAGGAGACCGGCAGAATTAACGCTACACGTAACGATTTGATTATGCCGATCTAACAACGCTCTTTTTTTACGGCATTATCGGAAGGGCCTGTTCAACGGCAGTTCGTACATAAATCAAAAAGGAATTAATAATCGGTTCACTTTCTGTTAACCGTATCCGCCGCGGCGCACGATATACCCACAAGAAAATTCATAAAAATAAATTTATTTTATTGTTGGATGGATTACCTTTGAAAGTTTGAGCTAACGTAATACATATTTTACCCGAACACCAGAACTGAATTTAACACACGCATGGATTTATGTATTAACTTAATTAAATTTAAACTGAGTTTAACAGGACTGACGTTAGCAGACTTTCCCTTCCACAGTTGGATTCACAGGAAACTTTATAAAATTGTGTAATTAATTTAAAGATTTGATAACCCTTAAAGATTTCAGTAGCCCTTTTTGTGACAGTTCTGTGGGTGTCGGCAGTATTTACACTGTATTATTGTAAATACCTGACAATTTGAAATCTAACGCAAATACGCACAAATCGTAGTACTGTGCCGCGCAAATGGATATCAACAACCATACATACTGTTAGTTTTAACTGCCGCTAATCTCCTTTCAATACTCAGCTTAAAAGAAATTTCACCATGTTTTAATTATTTTGTCGTTGAATTTTTTTCAGTCTGATGGATACTGGTAATTTTGTTTTGTAAGCGGTGCATGTCTGCGCAGGACAGATTAGGCGCACTTTTAATTTTAAAAATATTTTTCTTCAACTTCTCTCTCTATTGGCCTGATTTTAGGCGTTCAAATTTTTCGCTGTATTTCAGCTCTTATTATCCGTATCAGCTCAGGCAGAAAAACTTCAGAATTTTTATACCACCTTTTTTTAGAAATTGCCAAAATACTTCAAAACGAAAATGGCCAAAAAGCATTCAAAATTTCCAAGAAAACCATAATCTTTGGATATATCCAATACTGGTATTAAATATAATTTGGCATTTAATTCTAAAATCACAGGGTGCAACAATCAAAAATCAAACACATTTTTGTCCAATATTGTTCCCATTTTTCACCGTTTAACACCAGAATCAGCCGTCACTAAAATTTCTAATTTAAAAAAAAAAATTCACAAATAATTAATTGTTTTCCTTAACGTCAGAACATCGTTAGCAGCATATAACTACGACTGTTAATGCCATACCAGGAGGATACATATCTGAGGGAAATATTTCGCAAATAAATGTGAAAATATCAAGCGGCTGTGTAAAGCTCAATGAGCGTCTTGACTCGCTCATCATCCGTCTGCGCAACAATAACAAAAAGCTCTTGGCGGCTATTCTGGGCGACACCTTCCCCCGGTTCAGTATCGCACCGAGAGCGGCCAAACCAGTCCACTCCATCAAGCGCCCCAATCACACGCCGCTCCGGCCGTTCAGCCGCGAGCCGGCTGATTGATTAATGCACGACAAGTGTCGCATTTACGCCGGAATAATAATATTCCCTCACCGTCACGAGCCTCAAGAAATACGGTGGATACCTGATGAGTGCGATGCCGCATAGGCCATTATTTCTTAACTGGTCATCATACAAAATTAATGATCACCGCTCGACGCGCAGATGGAGAAAACTTCTTAGAAATTATCATCGAAATTTTCCCGCTAAAATTCGATCTCCTTTCGTCGCAACATTGCCGCATTTTTTATGGAAGACTGTGCATACAGTCAATAATACCGTGATAAAAACATAATGTACGTAGTCTGATAAAAAACTAGTTATTAAAATATGTATACATACGACCAAAGAAGTCCGTGAAAGCAAAAGAGCAAAAAACTGATGAAATTTTTATAAAAGTTTAACAGTACCATCCAACAAGTTCACATTATCGCATCAAAAGTACAGTAAACTTTTCTGTTGGCATCGCGGTCGAGTCCGGCTGAAACCATTGCACTACGATTTTCCTTCAAATTAACCAAACCTGGCCACAATCCGATTACACGTACGCAGTGTCCTAATATACAGCTTGGCTGCCTTCACATATTGAAATGCCACAGGTCATATTTGCTTTCGAAGTCTTGAGAAAACAACTGAAACGTTTCTTAATGAATTTTGCTTAACAATTTTATTAAAACCAATAAATTTACTACTAAAAACAAATTACCAATAAAATCAATATACTTTCATAGTTTTATATATGTAATTTAAACGCCGGTAAAAAATTTATTCCTTAATTCTGCAGAAATCCCATCACCGACAGCTTCATGGG